AAATAATTAATAATTTAACAGTAACGTTTATGTTGATTCTTATGAGTGAGTAACAAATATTCTTATTACGACATCTTGATAAAGCTGAAGACAAGCCACACAGACTTAAAACATTTCACAATTCTGATGCAAATTAAGGATTCTGAAAAGAAATGGGACATACACACTCCACAATATGACTGTATTTCTCCCAGCTAGGACTATCATTGTGCTCAGTCTATAGTAAGAGTCTCACTGACTTCAGAAAAAGGAGAACTGCACAAACATTGACTGCTTCTGAAAAGTCAATGCTATTTATTTACAGTTTTCTGCACTGGCTACCTAGGAGATTTGCACATGAAGGGAAGACATATCTGCCTACTTTTCTGTACTACATTGAAGAAAAACCCCTGAGTTCAGTCCTGTAGAAGGGGATGTAAGGGAAATGAAACCAAACAGAACATGAACCAAAACCACTGGCTTTGAAAAACAGACTTGCTAAGGGGTTAAGCACAGCGATGTTCTCACTACACAAAGTATTACTTTGTGCAGCCGTAGCAACCAGCACTGTGCGATGGCAACGCATCTGTGGAGCGGGACAGCGTGTGATGGGCACCTGCCACTTGCATCATGTGCCTTTTGAGTCTCATCGAATGGACAGAGCACCTACTTGCAGCTGGAACACTTCCAGTGCATTTCTGGAGCCCTCTTACACACACTGGGCTCAAATCTCTGCAAGAGCAAATAGTATTTTCTCTCCTGGACTTGTGTTAGTGGCTTATCTGCACCCAAGTGCCAGAAAGCTGCCCAGAGAAATCACGGTGTAGTTACCAATTGCAGTTTGTGTTTAGGTTTGTAGAAATACATAAATAATACGTAACTGCTCACAGTAGATCAACTCACAAGACGCAAAGGAAGAGTATTACACAAATATGCAATCATTTCAGGTAGAAGTTTATAATGTATTAAGTTTAGTGAACATTAGCAGATTACAAAGAGCCCCAGAAGAGTGAACGCTCTAAGGAACCACCCAAATATCAGCAGCAACAGATGTAAGTTACTGTTGCCTGACCTCAAGAACTGGTCATATTTGCAATGTTAAGCAATGTTAAGTTATAATCCTCCACAAACTGCTGGAGAAGGACACGTTTTTACATTCCACTTGTCTGATCCACAATGACAGATTATATATTCTGCTTTCTGTGAGAAATGAGAACATACTATGATGAAAGTTAGCCGATACCATCACTATATTTAGGAAACAACCAAGAGAAATCACATGGAGGCATCAGGATGTAACAAGCACGGCACCAGCATGTTCCTGGAGATTCGAATTCTTCTCTCAATTAAACAGTAGGAGTGGACTGTTTTGCAAATATTTAATTTTCAAGCTTCTAATTACAGTGGCTGTTTTTTTTCTCCTGAGAAAACAGGTGTTGACACAAGATCTGACAGATCCTAGCAACTGGCATTTGCTGGTCCCTTTCTCAGTTTTACAAACGCACACAGAAAGAAAGGAAAATGCATGATCTAACCTAAGAGACAAATATTTGGGCTGTGCATCAAAAATTTTTTTGATCTATGTTTGCATGGTGAGCTGTTCATAATCTGTCTCAGTTCTTCCAGAGATAGAAGTTTCATCATGCCCCATTTTGAAAGGGTACTACCCTGGCTGAAAAAAATCGTCACGCATGGGTCAGTTAATAGGAAGTAATTAAATGCATCCAGAATTAAATCCTTTCAGTGAGGGGGATTTAATCTTGTCATCTTCCCTAGGCACATTAAAAAAGAAAATAAAATGCATAGAAGAAAATATAAAGAGGATATTTGTTGTACTTCAAAAAACCTGAAAATCTATGATGCTTCCAGTTCACATTTAAACTACAAATGTGAGTAAAGTCAAATTTACAGTTTAAAGTATATCCTAGTTATTCTACATGTCTAACAGTGCTAAAATTTTAATGCATTTGATGGAAGCAGGATAACCAGGAAAAATGTTACCTATTGCACATTGTTTTGCTGCATCGCTTGCATGTAGCTAATTACAGCCTCTCTGCATTCACTCCAAAAATCTTCTGCTTTTGTGGGTTTTATTCACTGTTCCTAATGTTGTTTAAATGTAGAGGTTTTTCTGATTACCATTTTATTGTAGTATTAAACTTGTGGTGAGACACATTAATAGCACGGGGTTATCACGTCAGTCAGTTCAGTCATTACTATACGTAACCACTATATTTAGTTTATTTCTGTGTCATGCCACATGTCCCCCCCTCCGGATATTATTTGATTATCCACCAGAACTGTTGCAGTCTATCAGCTAAATACATGCATTCTTTGGTTTGAGTACTAATTTGGACATGCACAGCACTTACTCATTGTAGTAGCCTATTGTTTATATTCCTACTGAGATGTTTTTAAAGTACATTTTTGGCACAAAGCACTAAGCGCTCTGTGGGCTGGCTACTGCATACACACAATAAATCCACCCTTTGTTCATGCTTCTGCTGCAGCAACATAAAAATCAGCTAAGTATGTTTTACGCTACTAAAACACTCAATGGCTGATGAACCTGTCTTGCTTCGTTTTTTCTGATCTTGAAATATTATTATCCATTACCCCTCCATTCCCCTCATTAGATCAAGACAACTCTTAATATAATCTAGATGCTTTGATATCCTCAAATGAAAGATGATAGCTACTGACATCAGTGTCTCGTGCCTGTATCACACAACTCTACCTTCAGCAGAGGCAGCCCGTCCCGCAAGTGCACTCCGCAAGTGGAAGGTGACCAGCTCTGGTGGAGGCCACACGGTCACAACGATATCTCTTGAGGGATCTGAGCTCACATCCTTGTGGCTGTTTAATGAAAGCAGCTTTTTCAGAGCTATCTGAAAGTGTTCAAAATGGCACTGAGCCATACGGCATAACTCCTAAAGAAGGGTTTGGGTTTTTTCATCTCGTTCAAACCTATTCTCTTTTACAATGAATTCATTGTCATGTAAATAAGAAATCAGTTCAAGATCTGTTAGATTATTTGTTACTTCCACGTCATTCAAAGGCGTGTCAAACTCACAGATGAATTCAGCCAGAAGGGACTTTTGAAAATGTCTAGTCTGACCTTTCATGTAACAGAGAATCCAAAATACAAGGGCATATAAGTTAATGTCCTTACAACAGAGATGGATCCAGATGATTTGGCCTGAATTGCTCAAAATGCATCCGTTTTTAGCTCTGCCAAGTGATGGAAGTCACACACAACTGTTCAGGTCCCTGAAGTGCATTACCAGGTGTGATCTTTCTGGGTTTTACAGAATCTAAGCCTTCACAGAGCCACGTGCTGTATCATATGTTTTGTTTGCTCTTCTATGCATTCCACATTGTTAAATTTTGTCCAGCCCACTATCTTCAGTAATACAGAATATTCCAGTTATAAATTTACGGAAGCGTGCACAACAGGTAAAAGGAGAGACCAGGGCTTGAGCCTACAAAGTAGATTGGTCTCAACAGATGGAATGTACCCGTGCTGCAGAAAAAGACAAAAATACCCACAAGGTCCAATAATCAGAAAATAGTGAAAGAAAATGTATTCCAAACCAAATTTGGTAGTCAGTCTGCACTAACCATATGAATATGATCTAAAAAAAGAACCTTCTCAGGAACATGCTTGCAATGTCCAGGCACTGGTCCATCTTTTTCATATTTCACTTCCACCTCCTTTTCTTATCTATTTTCATAGAAGGGCCATGTGATTTCTCAGCCTTTTCTTAAATTAACGGAATAATAAACTGAATGTAAACTTCCTCTCCAATCCCTGGAACATTTCTAAGCCATTTAAAAACTCTTCTCAGTATTTCTGTATCCCTTGAAGCTCTGACACCAGAACAAAGTACAAAAACTCTAGTGACAATCTTGGTAAGGGCGTATCCAGAAGAAAGACCAATTTCCCGCTTGCATATTTAACTCTTGACTTATCTAAAAGTTCTTGTTGCCTTTCAGCCAAAGTACTGTACTAAGAGCTCATGTTTAGGGGCTTTCTCGTGGCAGTCCCCTGAACCTCAGCTGAGTATGTTTGAAAACTTCAGGTCCACGGAGCCTACACTTAAAGTTACCTGGCATTGATTTTATTAAAGACAGCCCTTTGGAAATGTGATCAACTAACAAACTTGGATAACTCAATAAAAGCAATTTGTCATCTTCTTTCTTACCATGCCACCAATATTTGCAAAGCTTTGGAAAAAAAATACATTGACAATTAAAATCACTGATAATATTAAATGTTAGACCACAACTCAGTCCATAACTGGCCCTACAAAGAGAGTACGCTCACTGATCTCCCTCTCTCCACAACTATCTTGTAAGATCTATCAATGACTCAATTTTTAAAAGACACCCAGCTAAATCCGAGCTTTAAAATCAAAATGTCATGCAGTATTAAGTTCTGAAGTTTGAGTATACAATGTCAGTTAATTTGCTTTTATCAACTTGCCCATAATCCACTAAAAAAAAAAAAAAGAGATACTAAGTGTCTGACTGATAAGCTCTGTATTTCCAAATAACTATGTTAGTATTAATTAATTTTTCAGTTGTGAGGCCTTGCTGATGAACTCCTGAATCAACTGTTTTGTTATTTTACACAAAATCAATACCAGGCCAATTTGCCTATAGCTTCCTGGTTGTTGTTCTTTACCTGTTTTAATCAAGTAACAATATACATGTTTTCTTAAGTTCTGTGATATTTCTTTGGTTTCCAACGCTGTTTAATTAGTGAATTGGAAATCTTCTCATCTTTTTAAATTAGTTCTTGGATACAAAATTTATCACTTTTTTCTCAAATTCTCCTTTGCTATATACAGCAAACCTTCAATTTCAGCTACAGCCATAGAATACAGAACGGATACTTCCACCTGCTTCATCCCAAATACTGAGCAGACACATCAAGTGAACATCTCACTTGTTTCGTTCTTCGTTGGTTATGGTATTCTGACAACCATTCTTATCTCAAACCATACCATCTAATTGGAGGCCGGTTAGCTCAGTCGGTTAGAGCATGGTGCTGATAACAACAAGGTCGCAGGTTCGATCCCTGCACGGTCCCCATGTGTTGCCTGATCTAGTTGAGAGGCATCCCTGCCCATGACAGGGAGGTGGGATTAGATGATCTCTAAGGTCCCTTCCAGCCTAGGCCATTCTGTGATCTAATGAAGGGCTGGTGCGCTATTTCATCACTTTCTAGCAGAGAATACTGTCTCACAACAGATGAGATGGAAACAAAGCTGGTATCACCAAGTCTATGGTGAAAAAATACCACAAAGATTTAGGAGCTGAAACACTGCAGCCCCACTAGATTTCTTCTTTCAATGGAATTGCCCCTCTCAAGGGAGTGAGCATGCTGAGTGTCTGAGACCTGTCAAGATCATCTCAGCTCACCTGTGAAAAAGTCAAGTTTGTGACAGGCAGGAGAGAACAGATAATCAATAACAAAGCAGGCACTGTTCAGGGAGGGAGGTCATTTGCCCTGATAACAGACTGAAGGAGAAAGACAGACAACCTGTGTCTAGAGACAGAGAAGAGCAAAAAGAATTATACCTTTATTCATGTGGTAATAATGAGTTCATATAAACTAAAGATATGCAACTTCTCAGATGCATGAAGCTACTTAATCTAGAAATATTTTAAAACATAACAGGCACAAATAATACACCAGAACAAAGAGTCTCCTTTGTAACCAAGCTCTGCACCACTTAAAAATGCACAAACTACTTTAGACTATAAGGAGGAAACAAAAATGCTCTTGTGTCTCTCCAGAGAGGTTGTTCATATTCTGGCACACACCTAAAAGGAAAGAACTACCCTCACAGTCACCTTGACACAGAATTTCTGGCTCTCAAGTTCATACTACTGTCCTTTTTTCTAAGCAATCTCTCTGCAGAGTAGGAAAAATATCTGAGCTGTGCAGGTTGGTTTCTCTGGGAGAATAAAGTCAGTGGCACAGAGGCTGCAAATACTCTTGTACACAAAAATCCACCCCAAATCCCATCTTCTGGGATTTTTAGCTCACAGTCAGCTTTCATTTCTCAAGGAGCAACTCCAGAGTCAGGACAGAACTTAATTTGAGTTCGAGTAAAGACTCTTTGCCCTAACTCCTTTTATCCAGCATATTGTGTAGCTCAAAGTTAATGGATTCTTTCTAGCAAGACTAAAAATTTACCGGTTACCAATACACCAATAAGAAGAAGCTAAAAAGGTCTATGCAGTAGCATTGCTTGGCAACACCTTCTGTATCACCAGTATGAGACTGTCAGTACTTCCCTACTCCAAGCAGGCAAGCTCTTTGCATCACAGTGCTGAGCTCTTTCATCATGCACCTGTCTAGAGAGCTTTTATCAGAGGGGCCCAAGTAACAGCTGATATTAAAGATTTTTAAATAAAACAAAAATAGAATGTTTTAACTGTTGTTGTCTAGTTGTATTTTTAACGGCTGCTGGTGTTTCCATAAAACCAGTAAAATATAGAATTAACAAAACAATTCAGGAGTAAAGTTGCAAAATTAAAAAAGTCAAAATTGAGCTAATTTTTATCCCAGAAATTTAAATATCTGAGGAATCCCAACAGTATATTGCAGTGCTTGAAAATGGAAATGGTTCTGAACTATCAAAAACCCCACAAAACACAAATCCTGAATTTCAGCCAGCTTCAGTAAACAGTTTATCAACACTCATTACTCACAGTCAGTGTACCACTGCACACAGCCTTAACATATGCTGCCTGACACCCAGCCTCCCAGGAAAAAGAGCGACTGCTCTAAAGATCTGGTTACTTAAGCCTGAGAGCTAAGAGACATAAAGGAGATGAATCTGTAATTATAGCCCAGTTACTATGCAAATACTTCAGCACACTATCTTGGTAAGAAATCTAGGTCTTCCCTTTCAGAACAATTTCATTATTAGAAACGATTATTGCCTTTATTCCACCACTGTGATATTTCATGCATTTTATACAGCACAGATAAGGAGCAAACAAGAACAAACAGCTTTTACCTCTGCAATCCTCACTGGCAGCATCAAAATCACAGCCCTGAAAGGACCAAAGACGAGAAATACCCAGGGGTTTTAAATCTGTGGTTAGCAGAAATCCTGAATAATAAGTTGCATGTCATATCTTAAGACTGCATATATTTTTAACAAGTTCATAAGGTTGTACACAGCTGAACCCACACAGGTCAGACACACCGTGATTCCTTGTGTCGTGCAGGTGTGGAGTCTCTAACGGATCGTTAACATGCCGTCCTGTCTGTGAACAGGTTTCTTAAGTCTGTTTTCTTCTGCTGGTATTTTTGACTGTGCTCCCGTGGTAGAATTAAGAATTTCAGTGAGGAGTACGTATTAAAAAGGGTGATGTTGTATGAAGACTGCTTGCAGTCCTAGCCCCAGTGAGCACAGCAGTAGGGAGCAGGCAGCCAGTCACCAGGAGTGCACCGATACAGACTTGCCTGTTCTACACGATTACTGCTGACAGGCACCAGGGCCAACACTGGATGTGCCAGGGCAAATGCTATGTGGACACAACTGGGGTAAGCACACTGTACAGGATAAGCATGTCAGACCCAGCTATGCATAGCATGGTTTTATCTGTAGTGTAGGCAAGCTGCTTTAAAGCAGCTTGGCTGAAACATAATTCAGAAATGAGAAAAATCCACAGGAAAAGACTTGCCATTGAAAATGTCCAGCACCTTAGCCACAACTTCATTATCTCACATTCACTGGGCTACTTCAAACATCCAACATGTTATTCACAGCCACATAGTTTTCACAGAATCAGCAGAGGAAAAGAAAAAAAAATGCTTGAAAAGAACTTTCTGCTCAAGGATCTGAAAAAGCAAGTTGCCCTGTGTACTTCATCTAGTCCCTCACATTTATTAAGGGCAGAATAATTTCTCCTCCCTCACGTAAATGGAGCAGATACAGTACCTCTCTCCAGAGCACCAGAAGCCACAAGGGCAGGCTAGATTAGCCTTACAGGGCTGATGCAACCTTCTGTGAGGCATTACTTCATGAAGTGGTGAGCTAGCAACATGGCTTTTGCAAAATATTTTGTTTGCACCTGCTGTCAGGCAAACAAAAGCAGTAATCGTGAGGAGATCTGTTTTGATTTTTCCATGGTGCTATCTCATCCTTAGAGGTAAGCACCATATCAGGCAATTAACAGATGACACCTCATCCTGCAAATGAACATTATGGTTGATCACTAAAGATTGCTACGGTATCTGAAAAAAGGATAATAGAGATCAGGACAAAACATGAGTAATATCTGATACATAGAAACAGATGTTTTATAGAGCACCAGATAAATTCACTGTAGCTTTTTTTTCATTTCCCTGCTTGCCATCTTTTCTCATTTGAAAGACAGATCTGTATTAGTTTCCAAACAGAGAGAACATTGTTCCACATGTTCTACAGCTCCTGAATCACACTAATTTGTATTACTACGTTTTTAATTTAATGATTGATATGTTGGCTTTGCAAACTGTCAGAATAATTCATATAGTGTTAAAAAACCCAAGTGTACAGTAGTTTTATTAATGCACCCTTAAAGAATAATGAAACCTTCAGCCTCACTCTAATGAATTCTGGTGAAACACTTATGAATGATACTATTCATGTATGCCTGTCCCTCAGGTGGGGAGGAGGGTGAGGGAAAGGAAGGAGCAAGGAAAAAAAAGAGCAAAAATTTCTAGTGATAAAATGGAAACATTTTCTGAAATAACCTTCAAATATTAAGTCCTCGAAGGAGAAATGGCAGCTTCAAACATTCACTTATTTATTCCCCTGCACCATAGGATTATGAAGGATTGTTTCTTGTTGTGTTTCATTTAAAACCCCAGGCACAGCTGTTCCAGGCTCTCTAACAGTACCAAAGCAAGATCTATATACCTAAGGTCAAGTCCTGAAGCCCTAAATCAGCTTTTCAATGGAGGCTTTGTTTCAGGGGCAAATACTGTTCTCAGCTCAGACCCATGGCTCCAGAGACCCATCAGCACGATCTGAACACGGTGCATGTGAGTACAGGGATGTCTGAAGCCCTGTATACAAGAAAAGTACACACAATGCACGTGTAGGATTTGTTTTCAGAAGGTCTAGCTATGTATGACCAAGAGAGGGAAGAGATGAGATTAACTACCAGCCATTGTGAAGCTCCTTCTTATATCTCTGCCTAAGGATACTGTAGTACAACTTCTGATATTGCACTGCAAAATAGCAGTACACTGTGACTGAAACACTTTTCCCCAAATAACCGAAGTTTAATAACTTCCACTAAGTCCAAGAGAGAGTTACAAAGCACATACCTACACTCCTACCTGCTGTTAGCGTGTCAGGAAGTATTATGCAGAAAGTGGAACGCAGTTATAGTGTCCAGACTAGTTGAAGGACAGACTCGATCAATAAAGCTACAAGAATAGATGGATGAGAATGCCCCTTCTGAGAATACTTTGCTTCCAGCAACCTGCATAGGACTCCAGAATAAAATCAAAACTCCGCAAGAGACACTTAAAGTGAGAAGTGTTGTGTTTCAAAAACACCCAGCCCAATCAAAACAAAAAAAAAACCAACTTCCAAGAAGTTACACTGAACTAGTAAAGTAGAGATCTGTAAATCCTGTTTGATGACTATAGGAAAGAAAGGATTCAGCCAGCAGCTTTGAGAAGGGCTGACTTCTTCCAAGATGTCTGAGCCCCATCCCGTTCATGATGGTGTGAAACACAACCTTCAGTACCAAAGCACCACGGCCTCATCTCTTTCTTTCATAATATTTTATCTTCCGCTCAGGGGTAAGACAAGAGAGAGTTTCATTCCATTGGGAAAACAGTGAAGAAGAACACAAGGATGAGGAACTGGATTTTGGTTTTCTGTCACATCTTCGTCTCCAGAAACTGACTCCTCAGGGACCTTTGGATTTCTGAGATGGACAGCACACTGAGACCCACAGGTGAAAATTACCTGAAGATCATTTGGGCTGCTGCAGAGAAAACTCTCCAAGCTCTCAGAAGCTGACAGCACTGGAACAGAACCATAATAAAGCTGATGAATCTCTGAGGAA